ATGGAGGACATGGAAGTCTAAACCTGAGCCAGATTCTCGGTGGACACGGAGGAATTGGAGGTATTACCATTGGACGCGGTGATAAACCAACCGGCGGTAATGGCGGGATTACTATTGGCACCGGACATCACCCAACTGGTGGTATTTCTATCGGACACACCAAACGAAGTGATTTATTAGATATAACCGATGGTCAGATCTCAATCACCATAAATCAAAAGAATAGCACAAATTGTTCCCAAATATCGGAAATATCTCATGAATTGAAGCAACAGATTCTGGGAGCTCTCCATAACTTAGAGGAACACATAAATCAAGAATTAGACTCGGGATCAATTGACTCGCTTTTGGGAATTCACTCTAACGGACACTCAAACAATGGTTTAGACACAGTGTGTGTCAATGGTTCCAAACCCACTGAAAACAACTCTCAACCCAAGCCTACAAACGGAATGCAATGTGTATTAAACGGACATAACTTTACTCTCACGGGATCTGTGAGTCATTCCTCTGGAAGTAGTGGTCAGTGGGATATTCAATGGAAATCCAACAAATCCAATGGTCCTAACACTTCAGCCAATAATCTTCTCAATGGTCTGCTCGGCTCCACCCCTGAAATCATTACTAAACCATTGACTACTGGTTTGGTATCCGTCCACATAAATCAGTAGATCAGTAATTACCAGTTATAAACAACTTACCCGGACATAAATAACTTCTATGACACTAATATCGATATAATACGATTTGTTGCTTGTTCAATTATTATAAATCTTTATTTTAAATTTTATTATGAATTTAGAATTCTTATAAAACTTCTGTAAATAAAAATATTATTCATTATTTATAACTTGTAATTATTCTCATTAATTAAAAGTTTTTATTTATATCATTGATCTCTGTTTAAGTTTTATATTAAATGTGGGCAATTATTTTCAAAATGATGATCATTTTAATCACCATTTGTATGCATAATGAATGGGCGGTCGGGGGGTAACCAAAGTGCAGACCCAATGGTTTGACGGTTGCGTTGAATGCAGTCGTAATCGATAGGAAGTGTCCGCTCGACTGCTGTTTAATACAGTCATTGATAATCTTGTTTTACTGGCGCTATCGAGGTCTGACTTCCCAACCAATTGAGCCCACTTTTAAACTATTGAACTTTTAAACTCAATTCTAAGATACTTTTAAACAAACTCACAAATACCAGTCCAAACATCTTTCCCTGGGTACATGTCATTATTATTATTAGCATTATTAATAAAATGAGCAAACACTAATTTAATATTTCAGTACTTATTCGAAACCAACGAATATTTTAAAAACATCCTTGTATTTTTACTAAAATGTACTTGATGAGTTTTGTAACCTATGACCTGAACCATACATTCGCACAAAGATTATTATCATGCTTATAGTATTTATATATATTTTCAATTTTTTAGAATTTTACATAAATTGATATACATTTATAAATCCGGCTCAGATCATGTGTTTCTAATAATTAAGTTTAGATGTACTGTATTATCCAGCTCTATTTATTATGCAATCAATAATACCTGTCAAAGAGACCAATGTTAAACATATTGTAAAATTAAATAGCGATACGTTTTGCTATTCAGTCATATGTGTAAAAGTCACATGAATTGCAAATAAATCTTTATAAAATATAATTAATCAAAAGTTTATTGAGACTCTTTTGCTTATCATCAAGATTAATTATAAAAATGTACTTTTTTATATATCAAAAATCTATTATTAAAATTTTATTGTAGTTTTGACGTCAAAGCAACTAGAAATTAGTACATTTAGAAATTAATTAAAATAATTAAATAGATTAACTTAGGATAGTTATTAAGAAATAGTTATAAAAATATCATAAATTGTAAATTTGAAATCATCAGTTTTTAATGTTTATAATTATATGGACCGGGCATTTATTTTTACAATTGTGATAAACCTTTAACCTGGGGCTCGTTAGTCTAGGTATATTTGAATGAAAATGACTACATTAATTGCATATATTTGTCAGAGCTGTTGTAAATCGTTAAAGTGTCATTTTAATATAGTATTCAAATTTATTAAAAATAATTTTCAATATATAACTTAACGTTATGTAAGTATATTTGTGAATACAATTAGAAAATTTCAAATAACGTTTGAGAATAAAAACATAACCATTCATAATTTATTTAAAACAAAATAAATTACTATTAGTACAAAACACAGTATTTCTTAAAATTAATCATAATAAGTATTAATTAAATGTTTAGTACATTTATATACAACACCTCTTATATGACATAAAGTATAAAAAGAGACAAATAATTGTCAAAACTTACTCAACTTTTCGAGAGGTTTTAGAAAAGTTGTAAAACTTATAGAAAACATTTCAATAATGTTTAAACTACTAGTGATCGCAGGGCTGTTAGTCCTGACCGTTGGAAAAGTGATTGTTACGAATAACTCAGGAGTAATAGACAATGGATTAACAACTGATTTAAATGGAAATGATGTCAGAGTAGAAGCCAATGAATTGAATGCCGACAACAGGACCGGTGTTGTAGTGAATGGCACACAACACTCCGAAAGCCACGATTCAAACAATGGTTGGGTCAGTACAGCCTGGAATTGGTTGAGTGGAAAGGGAAGCGATGGACATAATGTTGACCTTAACGTCAATGAAAGTAAGATTGAATATATGTAAGATTTAACTAAATTTATACTAATATTGGTGTCGATTAAAAGGTATTCACAGAGGAGATGTAGTGAATGGATCGGTAATAGATGGTAAGGGATGTCATGGAAATAGAGAGGAATATAATGTTTGGAATGAAGGCATACATAACGGGACTCTAAATAAAACACGTTCTGAGGAGAGTGTTCGTCTTGTGGGATCAGACCTTCCCAATGGTGGCGTAATTGTTGGTTCTGGTGCTCAACCCGTAGGATCAGAAGACCTCCCGAAATCCGGACCAGTTGTCGGAAATGGTGCTAATGGTGGTGCAGTGATCGGTACTGGTTCCCATCCCGTGGGATCAGTAGACCTCCCGAAATCCGGACCAGTTGTCGGAAATGGTACTAATGGTGGTGCAGTGATCGGTACTGGTTCTCATCCCGTGGGATCAGTAGACCTCCCGAAATCCGGACCAGTTGTCGGAAACGGTGCTAATGGTGGTG